TATAATAATTATTAGAATTTTTATTTTGATTTAGTGGGAAAAAAATTCCCATTATGTATCCTGATATTTTTACCGTAATAATAATGTATTTAAGTATTATTTTTTAAAACAATTGTTAACATAATTTATATTTATTATTTATAGTTTGTAAATAATTAATTTTCATTACATATTAATTAATTTATCTGAATATCTATATTTTTACGTGTAGATAATGAGCAACAATTTTTCACGATTGTCCATTACAATGGACTATGATGGAAAATGGTCGAGTTATTTTTCAGTCTGAAACACCTATAAATATGATGTTTAAAAGGGACATCACATTTGCAGAGATCAAGGAGAGGATAGAAAGAAAATACGTGCTAAGTTGATGGTTTGAGGTAGATTTAGGTATGTCCCATCCGGTCAGGTATGCTGCAGTACCACTGAAGAAGACGATGATATTATAACTATGGTGAATTACATGACTCAACAAATATTCCAATTATTGATTTATTTGTTGAGTTGTGTAATATATCTAATGTGCCTGGGTCATCAATAAATGCGGTTGAAACTTCATCTCAAATGGGTTTCGAGAGTCATTTCGATAACCCAACATATAGGTCGATGAACAGCTTTGTGGCGATGTTGGAAAGCGCAAATGAAGTGGTGGAACATCTGGAGCCGCAGAGTATGATGCTGAAAACCGCTGGGAAGAATACTTGAAGATTCCAGTGAAGATGAAGAAACTGAGGAACCTCTTTTGGCTGAGATGATGCCATGTTCCATGGTGATGAAGCTGATATCAATTGATGATATTCGACATCGTATCACCTACCCCTCACATGCAGGAGATTGATTATGAAGCAATGAGGCACCTGAATTCCCGGAGATGCCACATTAACTTCAGGCTATATGATTGAATTGTCCGATAACTCTGGTGAATTAGCAGTTGGGAAGCAATACAGAGGAAAAAAGAAGCTACACTAGCGATTAAAGAGTATTGCATAAGAGGCCATGTAGATTGCAAGACGCAGAGTCCAACCAGAAAACTTTGTACGCAAAGTGTGTTAATATGGGCCCGAGTGTAAATGGTTGATCAGTGTCCAAAATGCAGAGGCAAGATGCTTGGGTCTCACAAGGTATAATGGTCCACACACATGTTTGCAAAACTCTATCGAATAAGACCACGACTACTGTACTCCGATGTAATTTGTCAATATGTGAAGGTTTGGTTGAACAAAATCCAAGGATCCCTTGCTCGGTGTTAGCTGCATCTATCGAGACCAGTTCGGATACAATGTAAAATACAACCCGTGTGGCATGCGAAGGAGAAGGCAAGGAGGTTGATATATGGCGATTGGGATACATCATACAATGAGTTACCTGATTTGTTACGAGCTATGAAACAATTCATACCTGGAACCATCGTGAAGTCTCAGACCATGCCTGCATACGACCGAGAAGATCAACTTGTTCAAGGGAAGAGAATATTCCATAGACTCTTTTGGGCATTCAAGTCTTGCATAGAAGGTTTTCCATTTTGCAAACGTATGGTCCAAATAGATGGTACGTGGTTATACGGTCAATACAGACATATATTATTGATAGCAGTTGCGCAGGATGGTCAACGAAATATATTCCCAATTGCATTCGCCATCGTTGAAGGAGAGACAACAGAGGCTTGGGACTTCTTTCTCAATAATCTACGTAAGTATGTCGTTCGAGAAGAAGGAGTTTCCTTGATATCCGATCGAGGAACTGGCCTTTTGGCAGCAATTGAACGACCGGGAAGTCGTTGGACACCTCCGTACGCATATCCCGCATATTGTATCTGTCATATTGGTAAGAATTGTATTGAGAAGTTTCATAACGGTCGTATTCATAACGGCCGTATTCACTTATTAATTTTATATATACCTCAACTTTGCATTTGATGTCAATCTTAAACCTCAACTCTTTCACGTTGTTATGCGCCAACCCCGTTCTTTCTATTTTATGCCTCCATCTGTATACCAATCAAAATAAAATTTTGTAATTATTTTCATTTACAAAATATTCTTTTTTAAAAAGAAAATATTTTAAATCAATAAATTACCTTCCGGCAAGAGGAAAGTCAACTGCAGTTCGGCTAATCGGTGTTAACCATGGAATTCTGTACCACGCCCACGATTGTAATAACATCGTGCATCCACCGATTTCAGTCGTGTACGCATCATTAACAATTAATGATGCCTTGCACATCTCGCGATACAAGAATGCCAATATTGCTGATCCCCAACTATATTGACGGGTCATAAAGAAGTTCTCCAAAAACGGAAGATATTGTATGGACAAGATTACTGGATTTATCTGGCATCAAGATTCCGCCGATCAAACGTAATATATATGCTCGAGTTGCTATAATGTCTCGCTCACTACATGTGGATCGAGCTTAAACTCATTTGCCAACCAGGATAATCTCAGCCGTGACCCTTTTGCTACATCTTTGTCTGGTACCTTCCCAAGGTAACGCTCACATATTGCAAACATGTCAAGATCTGTATTTCCAACCACTGCCATTCCATTTGTAGGAACCCCTAGTTGTAAAGCCACATCCTCCAAAGTGATCGTACATTCACCACATGGAAGATGAAAAGTATGAGTTCTGGTCTCCACCTTTCAATTAATGCACTTATCAAACCGGGGATCAACCGAAATTCTCTTACAAAGCAATATCATAAAAACCCACTGTTTTCAAATTATCAACAATACGTTGATCTGGCATCTCACAGTTGATAAGTCGAGGACGAAGGACTCGTTGTTCGTCATCCTGCAATTTAGTAGTCATTGTAATTAGAATTAATACACCGTTCTCAAATAAAAAAAATAAGTCGATCATATTACCAGTTCTCCCAAATTACTCGAAAGTGTCGACCATCTAGCCTCAAAAGAACATTTTCTTCGGCCATGTTCAACAAATCTAGACAAAAAAAAATTAATATTACACTCAATTATACATTGTTTTATTCAAATAATCAATTGCATGTTATCTACTTTAATAAAAAATAAACATCAAATAAAATGATCCCTAATTACTTTTGCTTCTCAACATTTTCAAACTTTGCAATTTAATCACTAAATTTATAAATTCTTTCAAATTTAACCATTAAGCATATAATACTAAATTCAAGCATAGTATACCAACTTTTTATAATTTACTCTAATTTCTTAAATTCCTCAAATTTTGCAAAATGATCCCTAATTACTATTGGTTCTCAATATTTTCAAAGTTAGCAATTTAATCCATAAATTTTAAATTCTTTCTAATTTAACCATTAGCATACTAATACTAAATTCCAGCATAGTATAGCAACTTTTAATAATTTACTCTTATTCCTTAAATTCCTTAAATTTTACAAAACGGTCCCTAAACTTTATAATGTTCCAAAATGGTCCCAACCTATTTCAATTATGTAAACATATAAATTATTATTTCAGAGTGTAACAACATATAATCACAAAATTAATAAACTTATGAAACTAAAATTATGAGATCAATATAAAACCCTAAACCTTTAAAACAAGAATCAAATGAGATCTAGGGCTTGAGTTTAAATTACCTCAGCTATGCTTTGTGATCTTACTGCTGCAATCTCCCTCTCAAGCTCTCACTGCTTTTGTAATTGTGAATGCCTCAGCCCCAAACTCTCACATTGCCTCAGCCTCAGCCCGAGCAGTCTCTTATAAACATTCGTAACTCATCCATTTATTTGTTAAGAAGAGCCGAGCTATCCAGCCTTCCATGCAAAGACGAGAAATCCTTACCTAAATGTAAAGAAGACGCCGAGAAATCCAACAGTTGCATGCCCCCCCCACATGCAGACGTGCAGGACCCCCACATGCAGACGTGCAGCCTTGCAGGACCCAGGACCCGTGATTTCTCCTTGCAGAACCCGTGCTCTCTCCTTGCAGAACCCGTGATTCTCACGTCCAGTCCCATGCACAGCACTGAAGACGCCGAGAGTTCCTATGAAGAATCCAACTGAAGACGCCGAGAGATCAATCATACAATCACAGCTCCCACGCTTCCACATCTGCTGAAGACGCCGGGATATCCAAGTTGAAGACGACGACAGCCTAAAGACGCCGAGCTTTCCATATTTCCTATAGCAATCACCCCATTTGGGGAAATAATAATTAAAGTGCATTATTTGGGGAATTAAACCTCCCCGTATGCATTATTCCGGCAAAATAGCCATATTTTGTATGTGTTTGCAAAACTTCCACGTTAATGCAAATGGGAATGTTTAATTCCCAAAACAATGTTGTAATGCTATTATTTCCACAAATGGGGTGTTTGCTACAGTTAAGTTTGATCTCCCGACGTCTTCAATAGATGCGTCTTTGCATGGCAGCTTGGAACTCTCGGCTTCTTTGCATGGCAGCTTGGAACTCTCGGCGTCTTTGCATGGAGGTTGGAACTCTCGGCGTCTTCAACACAATTTATTTATGGTATAGAAAACTGGGTTTGATTTTGTGTTCAGTGCATTAGATGCAGGTTAAAGTTTAGGAAGCAAATTCTTTTATGATCACTTTGAATAATGATGAGCTGTATTACTTCTAAGCATTGAGAAAGAGCATTGTAATATCAGCCATTCGTTCATATCAAGCAGCAAGTGCATTATTAACCAAGCTGTATTATCAATTCGCGAAGTGCATTATTATTATGACGTTCAACATCATCATAAACACTGAAACCTGCTCTCATGTTTCAGACGGGTTTCAGACTTTCCTGGTTTTGTTGTAACCTTTGGCTGCAAAAACACATGAAAGACGTCGAGATATCCATGGAAATCCAAAACCAAAACCCAAATCCAAATCTGAATGAAGGTAATGACAAAATGACAGCGGAGTGCGCCGACACCAACAATCACCACACGGTCTACAATTGTGCTTGGTTGCTTGCTTGCTTGCCTTCATCATGGTTCACTAACATCTTGCGTGCACTCCTCACGCACGCACTTATCAAACCTTTCATCATTTTTCCTTTTGAGATTTCTTTCTCAACTTTTATTACTTAAAGAAAAACACATATTTTGAGGGAGTTTCAAGGATGTTTTTGTCGATGTCAATGTATATTTTTATGGTAATATAATATTAATAATCGTAGCTTCTGTGCACTCCTTAAATTTCAACCCTCTGACTATGTTTAATGATCCTCCTTTTATTTTATTTCTCTCTGCAAAGAAGGAAATAAACAAAGGTTCAGACTTGGAATCTCTGTCAAGCTTGAAGATTGAAGCAATTTGAAGATTGAAGCAATTTGGAGTTGGAGTTGGAATCTCCTTGGTTCTCTTCTTGCAAGTTTTTTCAGCATCTTTGATGGTTTTCATTTGCATATCTTTTGCTTTAATCTGCTTAGATTTATTTATTTTTGTGACAGTTCTTTAGTTTTCTTTCTGGGCTTTTTAGCTCATTTATTTTTTCAGCTGATTTACATTTTTTTTTTCTAGAGTTAAAAGTGTGTACTTCATAGTATTTTTTTATAACTTTGGCTAAATTGTTTTATCTAATTTCTATTTATTAGATTTGTTGTATTTGGTTATTGAGAAAACAAATTTTGATGAAACCCAAACATCTAATGCTAAAAGTTTCAGAACTTCATATCTTAATCTCGACAATAACATTAAATACAAAACGAGCTCTTCGACTGGCTAAATGTCTTAAAATATCGTATCTTTGTTCTTCAGTTTTGTTTTTCATTGATTAATAGAATGGTTTTAGTGAGAAAATATTATGTATGATGTTAAAAATAACAAATCTGTTGGCAATTGCAGGTTCTGGAATAGGTTGTTTTGTGGGGAATTACAAAGAAAAGTGACCGCGGCTATTTACTGGGAAATAGGAACAGCATGTGGTTGTGGCTATGTGATTCTGTTGATGTGTTTCGTAAAGTTATCTCCTTGAACTTGTATTGCAGAGTGATTCTGTAATTTGCAAAATCTAGAACATTTTCAATTTTTTTTGGTAGTCTTATCATTCTCTATCTTCCATTTCTTCCATTGGATCCACTTTTTCATTGTTGTCCCATGTTATGTCCGTCGGATTAGTTGAATAGCTTCAATCCCATCTCTGAAATTTCTAATGCATGAGCTTTGATTTTGGTAGGCAGATTAGTTAGTTCAATCCAGAGTTTAGATTTTGGTGGCATATTAGATGAACTTGTTCCTCTTAATATTTTCTTTGAATTGAAATATTCATGTCTTTTATTCGAAGAAATATCAGTAGAACCACAACTCATCTTAGAAACTTGTAGACGTCTGAATTGATAAGGAAATTTTTATATTTGCCTATTATATGTGTGTCCTTCGGCATTACTTGGTAGTTCTGTATTACTGAGGTTTCTAATGTTCACTCTTTTACTCACCATTTTAGGTTAAAAGAACCGAACCAATGTAGCTATCGACATCAGTAAAAGAGTTTCACCGGCATTGCTTGCGAAGTACGATGCTTGTTATTAAGGGGCATGTAGGTTGTATATTATTTTTAGAGAAAATAACCTCAGTGACCAAAAATCCCATATAATATACGATTTTAACCAACTTTTTCCGGATTTGCCAAAATGACCAACAAAATCGCAATGCGATCGCTAATTCGCAACGCGATCTCCATTATCGCAAATTCGCGTTGCATTTTCGCAATGCGATAGTTGAAAATCGCGTTGCGATGGTCTACAGTGTCGTTGCGATTTTCCCAATTCGCAATGCGAATAAGTAAATCGCAACGCGAATTGGGAAAATCGCAATGCGAATAAGTAAATCGCAACGCGAATTGGGAAAATCGCAATGCGATAATACAAAATCGCAACGAGATACTTACTTTCGCAACGCGATACTGACTTTCGCAACGCGATTCTGACTTTCGCAACGCGATAATACATAATCGCAATGCGATTTTCAAAGCGCCATTAGTATCCTGGCCAAGTATTTTATTTTTAAATTCCAAACACGAATATTAATATATTGGAACACTGAACCGTCCACAGTATTTCCCGTAATCGCAACTCATAACCTAAAACCTAAAATCACAACTCAGTCCCATCTCCATCTCTCACTCTCTCACCCATCTCCGACGAAATCCGTCCCCATCTCCGGCGAAATCCGTCTATCTCCATCTCTCAGAGCCACCCTCACAATCAGAAATGGAAAATCAACCAAATCAACCAACGAGGGTTAGTTTTTTTAATTATTTTCTTTTTGAAATTTTTGCATTATTATTAGGTTTTTCATATTGAAATTGATGATAAGTTTACTGGTAATTTCAATAATAGATTAACCATTTCACTTAGATTGCTTATTAAATCAACCGAGAATCGTAACGCGAAATGCAAATCGTAACGCGATTTTAGTTTCGCGTTGCGATTATCTCGTTGCGATAGTCAAATTCGCGTTGCGATAGTCATTTTCGTGTTGCGATTTTCATTTTCAGAAACTATTTTCTTCTGCAAATTGAAACTTGAATGAATTGCATTACTTCAACCAAAAAACAAAGACAATACGAATTCACAGTGTTGCAAATTTAAGTTTGAAGAATAAACTACTACTCTTTATGTTTATTATTGTTTTTGGTATATCTTCACAGTGTAGTTTTGGTATATCTAATTTAGTATGTTTATTGTTTTGTAGAACTTTTATTCGGCTCAATTGACCTTGAGAAATAAAGTCAGCCTGGCCAAAACAATTGCGTCGAAGCTTTCACCTGCACAAAGAAAATGTTTGAGGATACATGCTTCGGGCCATGGCTGAAAGTACAACATCCCGGTGGAGATGCGATGTTGACACACCTGTTTCTTCAAACCATGACTAGCGATCTACCAGAGACTATACAACGTCGTGTGAAGAGATATGGTTTGATTTTCCACCGGCGTATACGTGTTTTGGGCGGGAGGAGTTTTGCTTAATCACCGGTCTACGCTTCGGACACGATGATGTAGGTCGGTACACTAGACACATTACCCGCCCATCATGGCTATCCCGGGTTTTTCCTGAGCTGGAGAGGCCGAGTCTACACGTAGAAGACCTGACAAGATTGAATAATAAAGATGGTTTTACTCGGATGGATGACGTCGACGTTGTCCGAGTATGCCTTCTAATTCTTTTGCATGCGGCTTTTTAGGCAGAGAGGCCAGACAACCTATTCCAAATGATCTAATCAAATTGGTAGAAGACCTAAATGCGTGGAACCTGTTTCCGTGGGGCTCGTATTTATGGAAAGCTACATGGAATAAGTTATCGTCTGCCTTGGATGATCGAAAAAGTTTGCATGGCGATGGTTCCAAATACACTTTGACAGGCTTTATTTGGGCCTTTAAGGTAAGAATTTTATATGATGTTTCCAAAATTATAAGTAATTATTTAACAATTACTAATGTTTGTTATTATATTGTTTGTAGATTTGGATATTTGAGGCCTTTCTCGCCATGAAGACATATGCAAAAAACTTCAAATGATATTCCCAGGGCTATTTCCTGGAAGAGGAAACGGACCTTGCAATGGGAAGATTTACTACGGTATACGACAATAAATAATGTAAGTTAACATAAATACTACCATATGTTTATAAACAAGTTATTACTAGTACACGTTTAACTTTGTTTGAGCTTTTATATTGTTAGGAGGCCAACACTCCTCTACAGAGGCTGACACCCACGGAAGCTGAGCTTTCCACTAATTGGTGGCAAGCTAGTAAGCGTTTTTTGATGGAACGGTTGATGAGCAGCCTCCACTTCGGGAGCCATCACCTCGCCCAGAGCTATCACCTCACCCAGAGCCATCATCTGATCGACCCGGCTATACACCTCCACAACGACAGCCATCACCTATTCTGTCACATCATCGAGCCTCTTCTCCACCATCACCGCAAGATAGGCGACCGACAAAGATGCCATGACGTTTATCTCCCTGTTCTCCACCTCCACCTCAACGGGATGAGTTAGGGGAATTACGTGATGAGGTCAATGCCTTGCGAGGAGGTCGGTACTTTACGCAAAGACGATGGTGCATGGCGTGTTGAGGTGTCTACATTACGTGGTGAGGTAGCCGCTCGTGAGATGGTAGCATCGTTGCAGAATGAGGTTCATACTCTACGCAACGAGGTAAGTTTAAGATTTTTCATACTCGTAATTCATTCGGTTGCTGCCAATACTGCTAAATGTTTTGTTAGTATTTGTTTTTGGTTTTTTTGTTTTGGTTGAAGTAATGCAATCCATTCAAGTTTCAATTTGCAGAAGAAGAATAGTTTACTTTCGCAACACGAAAATGACTATCGCAACGCGGAAATGGCTATCGCAATGCGAAATGAAAATCGCAACGACAAAATCGCAACGCGAAATGAAATCGCAACGACAAAATCGCAACGCGAAATGAAATAGCAATGCGATTTGTGTTTCGCGTTGCGATTTTGTCATTGCGATTTCATTTCGCGTTGCGATTTTGTCGTTGCGATTTTCATTTCGCATTGCGATAGCCATTTCCGCGTTGCGATAGTCATTTCGCGTTGCGATTTTAAGTTTCGTGTTGCGAAAGTAAACTATTCTTCTTCTGGAATGTTTATATATGTTGTCCTTTTAAATGTTTATATAAGTGCTTACTTCTGGAATGTATCTGAGCATTTTGTGAACTATGATAGAATAATGATTTGGGTGAATACAATGCTAGTTTGAAACATATTTGTCTTTGTTTAATATCATGTCTGTTTATTTACTGATTTATGTATTAATTTTTTTTAGCGGCCCGATAAGGTGGATGCTTTACGTCGGGTTTTCCTTGCACGACGGAGTTCACGCATCAAACGGCGTGGACGTGCTATTACGTCTCCGTTCACCCCAATGGTTCAAGAGGCCCTTATTCTCCCTCAAGATTCCCCCCCCACCGTTCAAGAGGCCACTGTCATCGTTGAAGAGGTCCCTCCCACCATTCCAGAGCCTGATTCACATGGGGTAATATATCGAAGTATTGAGAAACCCCCACCGGTTCCGGACATGATGGATGAGAGTTGGCTCTCGTATGAGTTACCGGCTAGTACCCTTCCGGTATCTGAAGTGAAGAGGAGACAACTACCGGAAATAATTGTGGATAATACCCTTTGGGCTAAGACCGCAGTTGATTTTTATCTACATGAGCGGAGCCAAGGGTGTTACACTGACATCAACAAACTCAACGATGAAATGTTTTTGTTGCTTGATCGGTCTTGGTGGGGTGTGCTATTAGAGGTTGAAGACAGTGGCTATTTGGATGGGGAGGTAAGTCTTATATTTGTCTTATATATGATTTTGATTAATTTGTTTAAAAATTAATGTAATTCACTAATATATGTATTTTTTTGTAAAACAGCATATCGATGCGTGGGTGTCACGTCTACTAATAATAAGGAAGCTTAGGAAAAATAAAAAAAAATCGCTATATACAATAATGCCGACGGCTTTTCACGCAGTTCACTTGAAGAATCAACGAGATGAATCTTTTTGTTGGGCAATGGACAAGCTAAACTTTATCCTGCATGGTGGGAGGTCGATAAGGTTAGTGTTTATTTTTTAAATTTTTTAAAGGTGTTCATAAGTGCGCAAATAAATGAATTATTACTTATGATCGCAGGTGTTTATCCCTGTTTTGGAACGTCGTCACTGGCTTCTCGTCCAACTTCAGCTCCCATCCCTGAAGATAATAGTGTATGACAGCATGATCAATTACATATCACTGTCTGATTTGAGAGATATTTTCAAGGGATGGAGCTCTCATTTGGCTAAATTCTTGGATGAGATTAAGTATTGGAGTCATTCTGGACACAAAAGCCAAAGAAGTTCAATGTCACAGTTGTCAGAGACGAGCGCCACAGCAATCGCCGGAGCCAGAGGGGATTGTGGTCCTCTCGTATGCCTTTGCTTGGCGCGTTTGACGACGGGAAGCACATAGTTTTTACCTCCCACCGATAGATAGAGCTGCAGTAGGCTTGTGGTTTTGGCATTATATGGC